CTCTTTCAAGAGAATGGGACCAATGGGTGTTTTATCGTAGATTAAAAAGTGAAAAGTTGGAAATTGTACAATGCTACAGCGATTGTAGAACGTCGATTTTCCGACCCAGGTAAGCAGAGCATTCAAAAATGTTCGTTTCGTTGAACGGGATTGGTGCGTCAGGAAACAGACCGTTCTTCATTGAGATCGTCTTCGTCACTGGCCAACCACATGCGCAGTAGAACCACAGCCAGCATTCGCATCGCTTGCTCAATGTTTGGTGTTGTCGGAGTGATGTCAGCAAAGCGAAGATGGTCCAGTTACCGGTCGTCAATTTCATTCACGTGTTTTCCCATCCCGCTTGACGCATCACGTTCTCGAAGAAGGCGCTGAAGAGTTTGGTCATGTTGCCCTGTCGAACCCCAATCTTCACATCATGATCATCTCGTTGTGGAATGGTGAGACCGTAATCCTGATGATGATGGTGAGCTTACTAAGAATCCCTGAGGTATTGAGCAGGAAAACCCCAGGTTCCCAGGGCTTTGGTAAAAGCTTCTGTCTCAGCGAGTCGAAGGCTTTCTTCAAGTCGATTAATGTGGGACATGAGGCATCTTGTACTCTCGCATACTTTGATGAGCCTCGTGGACATAATCGATCGTGATCGACAGAACCCTACTTGCTCGCATGGATGTAATTCAGCTCTGCCATTCCTGTTCAGGATGACTTCTGCTTGATAAACACTTAGAACATAATGGAGTACTTGCAGAGCTTAGACGTTGATAAGTAAGTGAAGGCTGTCGAGTTTGCGCGGGATAATTGATTGATGGTAGGGCTCCAGTGCGAATCCACAAGCATTGTGAATCCGTGGACCATCAGCGTTATCCCAAAAAAGCGGCAGGGTTTTCTGGGGCCGTTAGAATTTCTATAAATCGTGTCTCTATAAGAACAACCTCATAAGATACCGATACTGTTTAATACTATTCATTTCTTTCTGATTGCTTTTCATCAAATTCGCGTTTCTAGGAACAGGATCCGTCGTACTGACTCAGAGCAAGCCCGAATTGAGATGAAGTCTTTTGAAGAGACGAAATGAATAGTATTAAATAGTATCGGTATCTTATGAGGTTGTTCTTATAGAGACACGATTTATAGAAATTCTAACGGCCCCAGAAAACCCTGCCGCTTTTTTGGGATAACGCTGATGGTCCACGGATTCACAATGCTTGTGGATTCGCACTGGAGCCCTACCA